TGCCTGCGCTTTGGTGCATCCGGGATTTGTCCCAGCTGTTCTTCATCACTGTCCAACTCAGGCTCCCAGCACAGTTGTGTCTCAGCCTGAGCGCGAGTAGAGGGGCCAGGCTCCTCGCCTGACCATAAGTCTTGGAGCTCCTCAGAGCCTTCCTCTGACTCTGATGTCACTCCAGGCCCCTCTTCCTCCTCCTCCCCTGATTCCTCAGACTCAGCTGCCGGGTCCACTGGCTGGCGAGGAGTCACAACAGAACCGCCTGGCCTTCTCAGCGGTACGGGCAGAGCAAGAGTGGAAGAAATCTCGTGCCGACACAGGCACGCCAGCGCAGCGCAGCACAGCCCAGAAGCGGCGCAAAAGTCTCTTAGGGTCAAACGGAGGCTGAACGTAATATAGACACGCCTGAATCTGCTTGCTTGGGAAAAGGCCCCCGTAGCTCTGGGAAGTCAGCTGCCCTGCAAAACACGCCATTCCTGAAGGGTCTCTCGTTCGGCTGATTCCAGTTTAAAACTCACAGAAGCTGCCTACCCCCCCCCTTTAGTCCCAAAACTAACCTTTCCGTCATGCTCTTCGTTTCGCTGAAGTGCCTCCTGAGGCTGACCACTCGCCGCCAGAGGGTGAGCAGCCGGCTGTGTTCACTGCTGAAATAATTGTTGAACGACTGATGGGAGAGAGAAAGAGAGAGAGAGAGAGAGGAGGACAGCTCCTACTGACTTCTGCAGGGACTCTAACTTCTGCCTCGGTCCCCAACAACAGGAACCTCTTGGGTGCATCTCCGATGTGGTCAAGCTGTTGCCCAGCTTATTCAATCTGGAATGAATTCTCCCCACCACCACCACCACCACGCACACCCACACACTTCCTATCCCTGCAGGTCTCCAGCCTCAAACCTCTTCCTCTCGCCTCCACTCGGCCTCTCGTTGCTGCAGCTCTTCTCGGGCTTTCGTCCAGTCCATGGTCAGCTTTCGGATGTCCTCGCTGAGGGCCTGGTTGGCCACGTTGGCTTGCTCCAGCTGTTCCCTCAGCATGGCGTTGACCTGGGCCAAACTGGCACTCCTGACGGTGAGAGAGGAAAGGGCGTCATCGTCAAAGCCCCCAGCGGGACGAGGAAAAGTTTGCCCCACTTCTTCTGGGAGCACCGGAGGCAGTCCAAGACAAAGCTGGCACACGCCAGGGAGTCAGACTTAGCACAGCGACAGAGAAGTGGGCAGCCGTAGCTTCTCTTCCGCCTCACCTTTGCTGCTCTTCTTCTAAACGGATCAGCGCGTTTTCCAGGTGGTTGCTATGATCTTCGTCATGACACAGATGCGAATCAGACACGTCTAAGTGGCCCTGAAGGGTTCAGGTGGCAGAGAACAAAAGGAAGAATGAGGTCCCGGCGTACCTGCCAGGGTTTAGCTGAGGTTCTTCTAAGCTGGAGGGAGTCACTTTTCTGGAACATCTGCTTAAAGCCCGGCCACTTCTCCCTTCGGCACAAACTCCGTGACCGGATCCCTTATTAGGTTGGAAAAAGTTCCCCTCACCCCGAGATCCCAATTCCTGGAGAAAAGTGGCTTCTTGATGCCACAGAGCCAAGGAGGATAGAGGTTTGCCTTCCACTCTGGGCGGCTGCTGAGTGGCCGAGACTTGGGAGCTCCCAGGGTCCTTTGGGAAAGCTTTAAATCTTGGTCAGCTTCAAGCTCAACAAATGAACATGAGTTTGCAACCACCCTTGGGCCCTCCGTTCACACTGCTGCTTCTGAAGGACTTGTGCCTTGTTGTGAGAGCTCGGTGCCGTTGGGCTACGAGATTAACCGGCCCCAAGGCAGAGAAAGTGGGCCAATGAAGGTAGCGGTAGCACGGTGAAAAAAAATTATCCTGACAGAGAGATGGAGGACTGCCTCCACAATTCACACACAGAACATGGAGTTCTGTGCACCAGGCAGCTGGCGCCAGCTGCAAAAACAGCGCAACTTAAGCAGCCCCCCCCCCCGGCCCAGTGGGCTTGCCCTGGCTTGCTACATCGGCCCTCACCACAAGCTGCTGATGCTCCAGCTCTGTGGATTTCTCCAGAAGCTGTTGCTCTTGTTCCCCACACTTCTTCTTATATTGCAAAACCTAGAAGGGAAGAAAAAAGAAAATTGGGCCGAGCAGATACAATTGCAGCTATTGGTCCAACAGAGCCATCCTTTTCGCAGAGAGAAAAGCTGTGCTGGCTTCCAAGACAGGACAGGTCTTCTTGAAGGAAAAGCTAGCTCGGCCTTGGCAATGCCAGAGTTAACTTCACCCTGGCAGAGGGCCTAATGGCTTCAATTTAAAGCGGGCTGCCTTTTTTTCTCCTCCACCTAAAGAAACCTGAGGAATTGTAGTGGGAGAATTCCTCCAAAACTACGGCTTTTCTAAGTACCACCTACTAGGACAGTGATGGCGAACCTTTTAGAGACTGAGTGCCCAAACTGCAACCCAAAACCCACTTATGCATCAGCGGGTGCCAGGTGGGTGTGGCCCATTGGGTGGGCGTGGCTGCGGTGGTAACAGCAGACTGGGTGGGACTAAAAAGTTTGATCAATCAATTCCAACTTTGCAAGATCTTTTTTTTCCCCGCGACAAGCTGAAATTGACTGATTGAACCTTTTTTTTTTTTTTTTGCACACGGCAGTGGAGGCCTAAAGCAAAAAGGTTTTATAAAACCCAGCTGAAGGCCTAGGACTGGGGCGACGGCGCGCGTGCCCACCTAAAGGGCTCTGAGTGCCGCCTCTGGCACCCGTGCCATAGGTTCGCCACCATTGGACTAGGAGACCCAACAAAGGCTTAAAAATTCCTGGTAGCGTAAAGCCGAGAGGAAAAATCCTTGCAGGCCACTGAAACTTTACTCCGTGATCGGATTCAGGTGAACTGGAACCCAGAGCCCTGACCCAGCCCAGAGGCAGGGAAGCGCCTGGCAATCAAAAGAGCTACTGTGACACTTCCCAATGAGCCTGTAGCAGCTGGAGGCGTGCAGTAGGTATTTCCAGCGGTTGCCCAACCCACCTTGGCTTGCAGCTTCTGCACCAGCTGCGCCTGCCGCTGCTGTCCCTCCTGGTAGGCCTGCAGTTTGCGCTTGTAGGAGCCCTGGTCCTCCTCCAGGCGCCGGCGCAGCTCGACGTTCTGCTTGGCCAGGCTCTTGTTCTCCGGGCTGTCTGGCTCTCCTGTCTCCAGACGCAACGCGTCTTCCAGCTGAGACAAAGCACAAGCCATTGGAAACTACCTCCTCAAATATTGGAACACTGCTATCATTTCACCCCTGGTCCTTCTCTTCACTAGACTAGCCATGCTTGTAACCGTTCTTCATGTCTTTTAGCCTCCAGGCCTTTCATCATCTTTGTTGCTCTTCTCAGCACTTCCTAGTCTCAACATATTTTTTTATAGGGTAGCGACCAAAACTGGATGCAATATTCCAGGTGGGACCTTACTAAGGCTTTATAGAGTGGTACTAGGACTTCATGTGGCCTTAATTCAATCCCTCTGCTAATGCAGTTTAGGATTGCATTGGCTTTTTTGGCTGCTGGCTCATATTTGATTGTCCGCTAGGACTTCAAGATCCCTCTCAGTCCATTCCCTTCTCATTCTCATTCCATCCCATCCCTTAATTCTATTCCATTCCATTCCATTCCCTCTTCATTCTATTCTATTCTATTCTATTCTATTCTATTCTATTCTATTCTATTCTATTCTATTCTATTCTATTCCATTCTTCCATTCCATTCTATTCTATTCTATTCTATTCTAATTCTCTTTATTCTATTCTATTCTATTCTACTCTACTCTATTACTCTTTATTCTACTGTTCTATTCTATCCCCTCTTCAATCTATTCTATTCTATTTTTCATTCCATTATTCTATTCTATTCTATTCCCTCTTCATTCTATTCTATTCCCTTCTATTCTATTCTATTCCATTTTCATTCTATTCTACTTTTCATTCCATTATTCTATTCTATTCTATTCCCTCTTCATTCTATTCTATTCCCTCTTTATTCTATTCTATTCCATTGTCATTCTATTCTACTTTTTTATTCTATTCTATTCTATTCCCTCTTCATTCTATTCTATTCTATTCCTATTCTATTCGTTATTATTCCTATTCTACTCCATTCTATTCATGTATGCATACGTACATACGCGTATATATACACAAACACAGACATAAACATTACACATAAGACGTGTGTGTGTGTGTGTGTGTGTGTGTGTGTGTGTGTAGTGTACAATATAAACACACTATTTATATTATTTAATACAAGGGACCCTCCTGGAAGGCCTATTCCAGGCCAAACGCTTGTCAGGGTGGAGGGGGGGGGTCGCGAGAGAGACCCCCTCCCCTGGGGCAGCAGAATCTCCTCAGGGGGAGGGTCAGCCGTCTGCCTCCCCCTCCCCCCCCGGGCCCCCCGTCCGCCTCCCCCTCCCCCCTCCCCCCCCGGGCCCCCCTCCCCCCTCGCCCCCCCTACCCTCTCGCTGAGGGCGTTGTACTTGATGGCCAGCTCATCGCGCTCGGCTCGGCTCTGGGCCAGCAGGTCCTCCACGCGGGACAGCTCCTGCTGGAGGAGGCGGTTCTCCTCCTGCACGGAGAGCAGCGACGACGACGACATCTCGCCCGGGGAGACGCTGAGGGAGAGAGGCGCTCCAGCCCAGGAACTACAACTCCCGGCATGCCCCGCGCCCGCTTCGGCTACTTTTCCCACGGCCTCCCGCCGAAGGCTCACCCGCTTTCTTCCGAGCCGGGGGTTACGCCTCCGCGGCCCTTTCCGCCCTCGCCCCGGCTGCCTCGGAGCCGGAGGGAAAAAAAGGCGCGAAAGACGCCGCCGCTTGAAAGGCCTTTCCCCCCCCCCTCACCGCCGGTTGCTATGGCGCCGGGAGAAGAGGCGGGGCGTGCTGACGGGCGAGCGTGTTTTGACTACGGCGGCCGCCCGAGGCCATTCTGGCTCGGCCGCGCTGCCCGCCCGCCCGCGCCCCCTCCCGTCCAATCAAGGCACTACGAGACCGAGTGGCGAAAAAAGGGTTTTTATTTCCGAAGAGAAAGACGCGCGTCGGACCCGACGGGAGATCTGGGAAGAGAAAAACGCCCCGCGGAGGCAGCGGGCGGAGCCCCTCCAAAGGCGAGGCGTCCCCGGGCCACTTTCTAAGGCAAGGAATCTTCCGACTTGGCCCTTGGATGACTTGTGGACTTCAACTCCCAGAATTCCTCAGGCAGCTGGCTGAGGAATTCTGGGAGTTGAAGTCCACAAGTCATCCAAGGGCCAAGTCGGAAGACCCCCTGTTCTAAGGCTTTGTGCTCTGGCCCTATAACACAACATTGCTGGTGGTCCCTAATTCCTGGAGGAGTCGGCACAGCCTCTCCCCCCAAAGTACACTGCTTCTCTTGGGAAGGAAGAGAGGCACAAGATCTCCGCTTCACAAGCAGCAGGCTGGCCTCTGAACCAGTGCAGCCCCGTGCACACACAACATCAACAACACACACACCCCTCTGCAAAAGTCCCAGTGCTGGTGGAAGAGAGAGAGAGAGAGCGAAGGAGTGAGAGACGATTTGCAAGGAGCCCTCCTTTGCCTTGCCACAAGGTCTGAAGCCAAAGTCAAACCCATCCAGGCAGAGGATCTGTTGGAGAGCAAGCGGGGCACGTCCCATCTCCCGGCTCTTGGGCTTCCCCGTCAGCTTCAGAACTGGACCCAGTCCGAGTTCTGCTGAGGCTGAGAGCCGGACCTAAGAGAAGACAAAGACATTCCTGGCTGAGCAATTCTGGGCGTTGAAGTCCACAAGTCATCCAAGGGCCAAGTTTGAAGACCCCTGATCTAAGCTATATTACAAAAAAAAAGGGGGGGGGAACAGAAATGTTAAATTTTTCATGGTACAGGACTTCAAGACAATTCTCCATGGTACGGACACAACAGATTTGCTTCCTATCGGAAGAGAACGTGCTGGGGAACGCAGGGGAGCAAGCCTTAGCCTCCCAAAACGTGACCAAAGGAGCATCTCCTCACCCGGAAGCTTTGGTGAAATCTCCCCAAATGTCTGCAGAAGCTTCTCTCGTAGAACTTGGCGGCTGGGAGGGCCGAGACCCGGCAACATCTGCTGGCAAACAACGCGTGGGGAGAAGAAGAGGTCAGCGTTGTCTTTCCCATTTCCAGATGTTCCTCGCAGAACGCCCTTTGGTCTGAGCTAGCAAGGGAAGCCCGTTTCCTTAAAAAGACCTTTGTACGACGGATGCATCTGCTAAGGCAGTGTTTCCCAAACTTGACAATTTTAAGGCATGTGGACTTCAACTCCCAGAATGGGAGTTGAGTCCTCATGCCTTAAAATTGTCAAGTTTGGGAAACACTGTGCTAAGGGAATGCTAGAGGAGGAGCCAAAATGAAGCCTGTGGTCCTCAGGGTGGCCGTGGCAGGCCCCAGCTGATCCCACCTATCATAATCAGCTCAAGTGGTCTCAAAGCGGAAGCTCCCTTCCTTTTCCAGTTTGGTGTAAAAGTGAATCCCTTGAGGAGCCACACGGACCTGTTTGGACTGCATCTGCTGAGGTTTCCAGAAGAGGCAAGGGAAGCTGAGAGAGAGGGGTCTTTCCTCCTGGAGGGGGAGGAAGAAAGGGCAGTCCTGTGACGTCACCAGAGCGTGGCCTACTTCCCAGGGCGCCGTCCTTTTTTTTCATGTTCTGTAGGAAGACCAAAAAACTTTCACGCACACTTGGAAGCTTCCCACTTGAGGGCAGAAGTCAGCCCGAGGAGGAAGGATTTGCCCTCAGTTCTTTCCCAAGCATCGGGCTTCGGGGTCTGCTTCCCTTCACCCCGACCCAAACACGGCAGAAACCACCCAATGAGCTGACAAGAGGGCCACTGCCTTATAACCGCAGCTGAGTGCCGCCTGTCTTGCTTGGACAACGCCCAAGGCCTTCCTCACCGCAATGTTGAGCTTGATGGTCTGTCCTTCCTTGAAGCCCAGGTCAAGTTTGGGCCCCTGGGTTGGGTTTTGGGCTTCTTTGGCTAACTCAACCTGTTGCTTGACCCATCTGCAAAGAGAGAGAGACAGAAAGAAAAGCATTTCCTGGTGGAGAGCAGGAAAAGATGCGGGCAGACGTCTTCCCCCTTGAAGAGGGCAGTTACTTAAGACAGATGTTTCTATTCCTGTTCAAAATCCATGTAGCAAAGGTGGCTCTTCAAATCTGTATTTCCCTCTAGAGCAGGAAACAAGGGGTGAGAAACAACCAGTGATGGAATCTGTGCCCCTCCCCCACTGTTGCTTTAGATCTTGTTCGCCCATTTGGCCCAGATAGGGCTCTGGAGATACTTCTGGAATACCTGAAGGAGAACTGGAGAATTTTCTATCGTTTACCCATCCCTCTAGGCCAGCCTTCCCCTGCAGATTTAGAAGGCGCTCTCCCAAACAATGCTTGGCAAGGCTATTAAAATGGAGCCATTCTACCAAGGTTGTAGATTGGCCAGGAAGGGAGCACGTGCCATTTTGGAGGTGGTTATTCTATTAGAACAGGGGTCTTCAAACTTGGCCCTTTGATGACTTGTGGACTTCAACTCCCAGAATTCCTGAGCCAGCCATGCTGAGGGGAAAGGGAGAGGTTTCCAAGCTGAGCCATGCTGGCCTAGGAATTCTGGGAGTTGAAGTCCACCAGTCATAAAAGAGCCCAGGTTCCCTATCCCTGTTTCCCCCTCCCTACCTGCCAGAGAGACCCAAGCCTTACAGCAGGGGTCTTCAAACTTGGCCCTTTTATGACTTATGGACTTCAACTCTCAGAATTTCTCAGCCAGGATACTTTAAGACAGGGGTCTTCAAACTTGGCCCTTTGATGACTTGGGGACTTCAACTCCTAGAATTCTGGCTGAGGAATTCTGGGAGTTGAAGTCCACAAGTCATCAAAGGGCCAAGTTTGAAGACCCCTGTATTAGAAGATCCCATCTCCACTCTATTGTATATGCCCCTGCTACCTTAGCTATCTCCTCTTTATTTTTAATATTTTAATATTTTTAATATATTTGTTCTCTCGCTGTCTTGATCTTTTACATTGTTTTATCAGGTTTCAAATCGCCCAGAGCTGCACGGCAGCAAGATGGACAGAGAATCAGTGTAACACATGATATAAATAAAGGTTGTTAATGTTGTTCCCAGATGCCAGGTTTCTGCCAGGTTTTGAGTGGCGGGTGCACGTCAAGAAGGATCAGCGGCGATTAGTCATGGCTAGACCACTCTGCCTCCAGCAGAGTCCTGGCACCAAGGGAAGGCTGCTCACTTGAAATGATCCTGCAGGGCCACATTGAAGTCAAAAGCATCACCTCGGTCAACAAAGCCAATTCCGATGAATGCACGGCGCCCTGCAAGGAAGGTGGTGGAAGGTCACTGGCTGTGGGTCAGCCCACCGGGAAGCCTGCAACAAAGACCTCAGGAAGGCCAGTCACACACACCAGATTGCTGCAGAGCCACCCTTCTCCACATAGGCTAGTGACCTGCCGAGAAGCCACAAACCCACGAGGACGGGGTGCCGAGAGTTCAACCTCCATTCTCACTGTTCATATCTGCTTGGTTGGGCCGTAGCCACACAGGTGCCCAGGTAGCTGGTAAACAGAGGGTTATTGTGGATAGCAAAGAAGATTTAACTTATCAGTCAAGGAGAGGCTTTGAGAAAAGGAGGGCCAAGCGGAAGCGCAGACTCAAGAACCAAGAACATTCGCAGAAGAGCCCAGGTTGGGGAGCAGCCTGATAAACAGAGAAAGGGGAAGAGGATGGCCCTAGGACGGGCTGGCCACAGCCTTGCACGCAACTTAAGAAAGAAAACAAGAGTTAGGAGCATTCACGAGGTTCGCTTCGAATGGTTTCTGCCATTTTTCCTAGCACTCGGCAAGTCTCCACCATCAGCACCAAGGACAGAGCTTGGATGCTCCAGAGGAGAGGCTGCTTTCCCGGTAAAAATTAAAAACCACAAAGACAGGATCCCACCTCCTCTCCCTCAAGAGGGCAGGACCCAAACCATCCCATCCGTACCATTCCCATCTTCGATTCGGAGCACGAAGTACCGGCTGGAGTCCGTCACACCCTCCACGGCAAGCCCCGGAAACTGGTCCACCGAGGCCTGGGCGAAAAGCTCTCCTGGGGGAGGAAGGAGCGGCCAGGTAGGCAGCTGGCTCCGGAAGGATCCACCGGAGAGCCCCGCAGCCCCCCGTCCGCTCCTTACCCGAGTTCTTGTCCTCCAGCTTAATGAAGGCCACGCTGCCCCGGGCTGTGATGCGCATTCGGCCGCTCCAGGCCGGCTGGTCCAGCTGCCACTCGGCGGCTCTAGAGGCGGGAGGAAAAGGCAAGCTAGCCCGGCCCGCCAGCGCCGCCTCTCGCCCTGCAGAGTCGCCCCCCGACCGGTTCCCCGGGTACAGGAGGAGGCGGAGGACGCCTCTCTGCGCATGCGCAGCACCTGGCAGCGGCTCTGCTCGGCGGCACCGGGAGCCGGTTAGGTCAGGCAGGGGATAATGGGACTGGCGATCCCGCACCGCCCACCAGGGCAAAGCGACGCTCAGCCGCCGCCGCCGCCGGCGGGGAGACTCACCGGTAGCCGCGGTTGGAGGCGCGCGGGGGCACGCGGTAGACGTGGACCTCCGGCTTGACGCACAAGACGGACTCGTAGTCTTCGCCTTCCGCCATCTTCGCCCGCCGGAAAGCTGGGCTCTTCCGGGCATGCGCAGCAGCCTTCTCTGTGCGCGGCGCCGCCCGTCGTCACTTCCTGCCCGCGGGGGAAACGGGAAGGCCGAGGCGGGATAGAGCGCCGCCTCCCCTTAAAAGCCCGCTACCGCCCAGAGCTCCTCTGTGGCTTAATAAAAGCGGCTCTAGCGACCCCTGGCGGGTCGGCGAGGAGCCGCTCCCGGGCAATAAGCAGGAGGAACACCTTGAAAAGTTCACGCGTTTTATTTCAAATGCACCGTATGAATCTGTCACCCGCGCAAGGGCAGCCCGTGCAAGCCCCGGCCTGGCAGAACAGCTCCCGGGGGGGCTTTAGCGCCGATTCCTGCACCCCCCGCCCAACGCGAAGCGGAGCCCTCCTTGCTAGACTCCCCCCCCCATTCTTTCCCCGAAGGGCGCCGCTTCCTAGGTGCCCCCCATTACGTCACTGGGGGGGATTTTTGCCTCCTCCTTGACGCCCCCCTCCCGGGATGGACGCAAAAGGCCAGGGGGTCTTCAAACTTGGCCCTTGGATGACTTGTGGACTTCAACTCCCAGAATTCCTCAGCCAGCGTGCATGCTGGCTGAGGAATTCTGGGAGTTTACAAGTCATCCAAGGGCCAGGTTTGAAGAGCCCTGAGCTAGAACATAAAGAGTTGGGATACCCTGGAGGTCATCTAGCCCAACCCCTTGCTCAAGCAGGAGAGTCTATACCAGGGGTCTTCAAACTTGGCCCTTGGATGACTTGTGGACTTCAACTCCCAGAATTCTTCAGCTGGCTGAGGAATTCTGGGCGTTGAAGTCCACAAGTCCTCCAAGGGCCAAGTTTGAAGACCCCTGCAAAAGGCCAAGGAATGGCCGCTGGGAAAGGCCGCTGCTTGCCTGTCCTGCCGTGGGGAAAATTGGCTCTTTCCGTCTGACATCCGAAGGCGGGGACAAGAGAGGGCAAGAACTGCCCCCAAAGGGAAGAAGCAGCCCCCCCCCCCGGACAGTGGCCATTTCGAGCAAAATTGGGGAAAAGGCCAAGCTGGAAGGATCCGCAAGCAAATGGAGAGGCAGGGATGCAAAGACAGGAGAACACACTGGAGGGCCAGCCAGTTGTTTTTTTTCCGCGTTTTTGTACACAGGTAGTTTTATTTCTATTATTACTCTTTTGACCAGTTTACTTCTTCTGCAGTATTTTGGTACGCGTCCTGTGTTGATGTACAAAGAGACACCCTTTCAGCGCACACCCTCCCCACACACACACACACACCCCCGACACACAAGAGACACTTACACGTTCCTGTACGGCCCACTGCCGGCCGAGGTCTTCCTTCACTTCCAGCAGAAGAGGAGAAGACCTGTGGGATTCCCTTGACAAACCACAGAGGTGTCCCTTTCTACACCGGTTCTCTCCTCCCAAAACCAGACAGCAAAACCAAAAAGGCAGACTTGGGAAAACACAGTGAAGCGAGCTAGCCCAGGCACCTGGAAGTGGTGGGGGAGGGAGGGAGGGCCCCCTCCCTCAATATGGCTGCTAGTGCGCAAAGCCCCAGCTGGTCCGACACTTGGCATCGGCCGCCCGTGGCGGGTCTCCTAACCAGCCCCTCCGGTGTCTTTTGTCTAACCACCTGGGAAAAAGCTAAGAGTATTGCTTTGGGGTCCACAAGCCACGACGTGACCCTCCCATCACTGCAAACCCATTCTCCCAGGCCATCTTGAAAAACGGTTCTACGCCATCGGGCCTGTTACTCTGAGGCGTTTGTGACCCGTCCCATTTTGAGCGGGAAGGAAATCTGAACCTTGCTTCCCCCCCCCCCTTTGCCTTCCAGATAGCAGACTGATCAAGAACAAACGGGCCTAATGCCTCACTGCTCGGGGCCCCCGGCTGGCCTGACGTCCGTCCGTGGCCAGCACAAGCAACACTTGGCCCGCCGCCCGTTTCCTCCCAAGAACCGGGCAGGACAAGATGGGAGACAGGGACTACTCTATTCCTAGCTCAAGAGTCCTAGTGGCAAAAAAGCAGGGCTGCCCCATCTTTGCCTGGAAGCAGCGCCAGGAGGCGAAGGGAGTGCTGGTGAAGACTGGGAGGGCAGGGCGATCCCTTCTGCCCTCAAGGCAGAGGAGGGGCCCCAGCTTGTCCCACAGAGGCAGAGACACAGGGGCCCCTGCCGGCTCACGAAGTGGCCTGCTGGAAAGACGGGCCGGAGCGCCCTCCGTTCGTTCACTCTGAAGCGGCGGCGAGCGGGAAGAGGCAGGGGGTGCCCGCCGCCACTTTCCCCCACCTCCCTCTCCTTTCGGAACACTAGCAACTACCGTTTCTCAGATAAACAGGTTACACAGCTAACACACCCCCTTGTCTTCTTCCCATGCGTGCGGCTCCAGGGCCACCCCGTCCCCCCAAAGCAAACCTTGGTGTGTACACCTTCCGCCCACCCGCCCCCGTCTGCACCTGGCTCCAAGTGTAACACGCACCGACATGCACATGTTGAGAAGCAGAGCCCTCCCCCCCCTCCTGCTTCCGACCCCGGAGGGAGCCAACGGGAGAAGTCATTCCTTTGCGGGGGCGGGCTCGCTTCAGCGGGCAGCAAGATGTGGCAACCCGCCCCCCTGGAAGAGAAGCCTGCCCCTCCCTCGGTGCAGCCTCCTTGGCATGTCAATACCACGGGGAGGCACAGCAGGAGTCCCAGTGCCTGGGCCGAGGGTCACAAGAGGCAAAGAGCCAAGGGGACGCTTGGGGCAAGTCCCGCCCCTATGGCTCAGGTCCATTGGTCTGCTGAGGAGGAGGGGCACCTTGCTTTCATACTGGCTGGTCAGCCAGCCAAGCCTATCTGCGTTGCTTGAAGCCCTGCGAACCGTCGGGGCCCAGTGGCTGCCGGATCACATTGCTGGGCTGCCTGGACTCTTCCGGCTGGGAGATCCTTGTGGGCCTGAGGGAGGAGGGGAAGAACACTCAGTTTGGCTAACAGCTGCCCCCCCCCCTGCCCGGTAGTCCGAAGGAGAGACTAAGAGGAAGAGGACAGGCCAGTGATGGCGAACCTTTTAGAGACCGAGTGCCCAAACCGCAGCCCCAAACCCACTTATTTATCACAAAGTGCCAGGGCCGCATCAGCATTGTGATGCCCTGGGAGGGGGGGGCAGGGAGGCGCCTCTGAGTGCCGCCTCTGGCACCCAAAAACCGGCGGTGCAAAAATGGCCCACCGTGTTGCAAGGTGCAAAAATGGCCGCCGTCACGCCGCGGAGTGCAGATACAAGGCGCTGCACCACGCAAGAATGGGGCAGGGCTAGTATCACGCAGGCACTAGACCCGCCCCATTTGCAGCACGTGCATGCTCGCGGCCCCGTGCGCACATCAACGCATGTAAATTGCTTCCCCCTCCCTTTTCTTCCAGTCTACCAATTGACAATGGGTTGGTGACCTCTGCTCTATCATCTCTATTCGATCTTGCTGGTCGGCCACTTTGCCTCCTTTTTTGCTGGGCGGGGCTCCTGCTCCGGGCAGTAATGGCAGACTAATGAACCTGCTGCTGGCGCGCGTGCCAACAGAGAGGGCTCTGAGTGCCACGCGTGCCATAGGTTCGCCACCACTGGGATAGGCGGTCCAGCTTGTGGACGAGAAGCCCGCAAAGAGGAGGCACATGAGGAGATCCTCCTTTGGGCAACCAGTCCCAGAGCTGCACCCTCTCAGACTGACCTGACGTCCTCGAAGCGGTTTTGTGAACATGCTTCTCTCCCCCCCCATCCCTCGGTCCTCCCCCCAAGATGAGCCCAATGGCAGGCCTTACATCAGTGTCCCCTGGGCCCGGACAGGGTCTTGGCCTCAGGCAGAAACAAGACGAGGGAAGCCAGAGGGCAGAGGGTGCCCTCCTGGCACAGAGGAATTGGGTGCCAGGGCTCCCTAACCTATCAAGGATGGGCTTCTCTTGTTCCTCTTCGGGACTGGCACTGCCGAGAATCCGCTTCCTGGCCTCCGCGTATTCGGCCTCCCTCTGGGCCAGGGACTTCACCGGGAAGGCAGGTCGGCTGGAAGAGTTGGGGTTAGTCAGCACTCCGTTGCTGGTGGGCCGCTTCAAGATCCGGATCTGCGGAGGCGGGCCCGAAGGAAGACTGTCGTCCTGAATGACGATCGGCACTTTGGGTGGGGACTTGGATTTCCTGCTGTGAAGAGAGAAGAGGGGACGCAAGTTTTTATTTTTATTTTGTGCTGTTGGCCAAAAAAAACCCCCTCAGCCAGTCCTCTGCCTATTCACCGAAACGCAAGGCAGGGAGGGAAAACTTCTGCCCTTGATTTTCTGACCGAATCAGTACAGCCAGGGCTTGGGGTTCGTCTTTAGATAGAATCTTTAAAAACTAAAAACCGGAACGCCGCTCGATTTTCCCAGCCACCTTCCAGCAAGAACGCTGCCGAAGGATTACGAAAAGAGTCTTACCTTTCCTTCTGGGAGATTTTCAGTTTCTTTTCCAGTCGCCTGTCTATTTCCTGCAAGGCAAAGTCAGTGGGTCAAGCTCCCTCTGTTTGCTCTGCCCACCTGCTGGGGTCAGGCACCTCGTAGTACCAGGGGATGAGCCTGGCCCTCCCTTCCCTGGGAAGACAATGCCACATTTCACCATTGGTTACTAACTCGTCTTTGAAGTAGCAAGAGATCCCACGAAACAGAGCAGGCCAGGAGACAGAGAAAGAAAGAAAGAAAGAAAGAAAGAAAGAAAGAAAGAAAGAAAGAAAGAAAGAAAGAAAGAAAGAAAGAAAGAAAGAAAGAAAGAAAGAAAGAAAGAAAGAAAGAAAGAAAGATTGAAAGGGAAAGGCAGAGAGAGCGAAAGAAAGAAAGAGACAGAGAAAGAAAGAGAAAGAGAGAAAGGGAAAGAAAGAGACAGAGACAGAGAGAGAAAGAAAGAAAAAGAGACAGAGAAAGGGAAAGAAAGAGACAGAGGCAGAGCGAGAGAAAGAAAGAAAGAAAAAGAAAGAGAGAAAGGGAAAGAGATAGAGACAGAGAGAGAGAGAAAGAAAGAAAGGGAAAGAAAGAGACAAGAGACAGAGAGAGAGAGAGAAAGAAAGAAAGAAAAAGAGACAGGAAAAAGAGAGAGAGAGAGAGACAGAGAGAGAGAGAGAGAGAAAGAAAAAGAGACAGAGGAAAAAGACAGAGAGAAAGAAAGAAAGAAAGAAAGAAAGGGAAAGAAAGAGACAGAGAGAGACAGAGAGAGAGAAAGAAAGAAAAAGAGACAGAGAGAAAGGGAAAGAAAGAGAAAGGGAAAGAAAGAGAAAGAGACAGAGAAAGAAAGAAAAAGAGACAGACAGAGAGAGAGAGAGATACAGAGAGAGAGAGAGAGAGGGAGGGATGGAGACAGAGACAGACAGACAGAGAAGCCCTCTGAACCCTTTGATTTTCAGAGGGAAAAAAAGCTGAGCCCTGGGAAGGGAGCCCAGGGTGAGCGTTATCCCCAGACCAGAATCAAAATGGGCTCATGCCAGACATCAGGTCAACTGGCAGCCGCAGGTGCTGACGCTTTGCATTTGAGCAAAACAGCAAGATAAAATTAGACCCCGGTTTTGCAGGTCATCCAGATCAGCAGCCGAGAGCCAGAGTAGCGGTGCCTACTCTAATAACTTGCTCAGACAGACTTACCATCATGAGCAGAGTGCGTGCCTGGTCATTCGCACTGGAAAAACTGGGGGGAGGAGGGGGATGTCACCATTAAAGACCGGTAACCAGAAAGAGGAGGATCTGTTTTCTGCCCAAGACTTTGGGAGACCATTCCTCTCCTTCCAAGCAAGCAAGGCCACGAAAGGTGGCCCAACAGCCTGGCCAGTTGGCTGAACGCCCACTCTGCCAGGATAGCGTCCGAAGGGTGGTAGTTTCCCAGACAGGCACTTCCTGGGGATGTCTTGTTGGCTCTCTAGGAAATGGCTGCTCCGGTGGTCCTTCCTTGATGGAAGGGGCGGCCAGGCCTGGGTGCCAGCACGTTTCAGCCGTCCTTGCGGCAGTGGCTGGTTTTGCAGTAAGACAGGCATTCGTGGAACAGCTTCTCCACTGAGGTGTAACTGCATTTGCTTTGCAGTCCAAAGTCTGGAGGGCGAGTTAATCTTTGAAAGTAAAGGCTGAGTGAGTTTTCTTCTCCGCTGAACTCAGACGTGCACATCCTCCGGAGATTTGCCTTGACCCAAATAGTTCATTTTACATGGGCGGTCGGCCAAATTGGGCTTTTGGCTCACCTCTCCGAAGACCGCCATTTTCAGTGGCGGGGGTGGGCCTGAGCCCCCCCCCCACCCTGCCTCCCTCATTAAATTATCTGGTAGAAGTAGCATCTCCCCAGAGTCACTCTGTGAGATGGAGGCGGTATATAAATGCAATAAGTGTGATCACTAAAAATACAGACGGGAATGGCGAATGTTTGGGTGAGGAAGGAAAAGGCCAGGTGACTGCAGAGGGTTGTGGGGAACAAGCCCAGCACCAACCCATTAGCCGAGAGGGAATGGACACAAGAGGACGACGGGAAACGACGGTCAAATGTGGATGTGGGGTTCTAGAAGTATGAAAGACAGTCAAATGTGGATGTGGGGTTCCAGAAGTATGAAAGACGGTCAAATGTGGATGTGGGGTTCCAGAAGTATGAAAGACGGTCAAATGTGGATGTGAGGTTCCAGAAGTATGAAAGACGGTCAAAGGGGAGAGCAGAGAAAACCGGCAAAGCACAGAATGAAGGCTTCTCGGGAAGTTACCCCTTTTACATTCCAGGCAGTCCTCAACTCACATAAGTGACCATTCAAAGTTACAACGGCACCGGAAAAAAGTGGTTTATGGCCATTTTTCACACTTATGACCAGTGGTCTTCAAACGTGGCCCTTTGATGACTTGTGGACTTCAACTCCCAGAATTCCTCAGCCAGGCACACGTGCCTGGCTGAGGAATTCTGGGAATTGAAGCCCACATGTCATCATCAAAGGGCCAAGTCTGAAGACCCTTGCTTATGACCATTGCAACATCCCAACAGGCAGGTGATTTCCATTCGACTGAGTCACATTTACGACAGCTGCAGTCTCCCAGGGATTCCCCCCTCTGCAACCTTCTAAGCAGCAAAGTCAATAGGGGAAGCCGAGATCCACTTAAGAGCCGGGCTAACTGGAGGGATCCCCTTAACAAACGGGGCAAAGCTCACTTAACAAGCGTTTCCCTTAACGGCGTGAATGGTGGGCTTGATTGTGTCCCCCAACGCCTTGCTTCACCGGCTCCAAAGGCGACCCTCCTGGCCCAGCCCTGCCCTAGGCCCCCAGCCACTTCCAGGGGGGGGCGGCCGAGCCCGAGAAGCGGGATGCGGAGCTGCTGGGGCCGGAGGAAGGACCGATGACCTGGGGCACGGGTGCGCTGCTTTCCCCTCCTCGCCCGCAGATCGGAGGCTCGGCCACCGCCGCTCCAGGAGCCCGGCGGCCTCTCTCGGGAAGCGGATCCCCGACGGAGGCCGCCCCCCTCGGGCTCTGGAAGCCGGCCAGGGCGCTCCCCGCGCTCCCCTTCCTCGCCTCGCCCACGCCGGGCAGTCCCGGGAGGGCTTCCCCGAAGGAAGGAAGCAAGGAAGGAAGGAAGGGGAAAAGGAAGGAAAAAGGGAAAAGGAAGGAAAGGAAAAGGAGAAGGAAGAGAGGGGAAAAGGGGAAGGAAAAGGAAAGGAAAAGGAAGAAGGAAGAAAGGGGAAAAGGGGAAGGAAAAGAAAGGAAAAGAAAGGAAAGGAAAAGGAAGGAAGGAAAAGGAGAAGGAAGAAAAAGGAAGGAAGGAAAAGGAAGAAAAGGAAAAGGAGAAGGAAGGAAGGGGAAAAGGGGAAGGAAAAGGAAGGAAAAGGGGAAGGAGGGAAAAGGAAGGAAAGGAAAAGGAGAAGGAAGGAAGGGGAAAAGGGGAAGGAAAAGGAAGGAAGGAGGGAAAAGGAAGGAAAGGAAAAGGAGAAGGAAGGAAGGGAGGGAAAAAGAGGGGGAAGGAAGGAAGGAGACGCCTCCGAGCGCAGCCCAGATGGAGCCCGCCGGCCCTGCCTCCCCGGGCGGAGCGGGACTCGCCGGCCGTCCCCGCAGCGCTGCCGGGGCGCCCCCGGCCAGAGGGACCCTCCCGCGGGCGGCCGGTGGCCCGCAGACCACGTGTTCGGGGAAATGGGGGCACGGCCCCTTTAAGAGGCCTAAGAGCCTCGGCCCACCCGGGACGCCTCTCCGCCGGCCTCGCCGTCCCACCCGGGGGCGGCCCGTCTCCTCTCGGCTCTCCGCCCGGGCTCGGCGCCGCTCCGGGACTCACCCCGCTGTCGGCCGCCTCCTCCCAACTCTCGGCGACCTCCTCATCTTCCATTGTAATGCCCCTCCGCCGCCAGCCCGCCCGGAGCGCATGCGCGCGGCGCCCAGGCCTATCCTGTCGGCGAGCGCGGCCGGCCGGACCCGCCTTTGGCGTCAGCGCGCGCCAACGCGCCTGCGCACGCCCCCTCTTCCCGGGCTGCTCTTCGCTGGCTGACAAGCGAGCGCCCTCTGCCGGGCCGACTAAGGCCTACGCATCGGCCGCTCCTTCGCCCGCCCGCCCACCTCGGAAGAGCTGGTCGGGACACGCCCTGGAAGGGTTCGCGCATGCGCGGTTACCTTCTCAGCAAGCACAATAGCGCAACATTTCCGTGGCGTGTAGGGGGCGCCACGTTCACTTATCGCCCGGTGGAAGCCGGAGCGGACGGTACCGCAGTCCCAAATATTAACTGGCGGGGAGGAAAGCGGGATTCTCCCCTCTAAACTGGGCATGCGCGGCCTTGAGGGCGCAATGCCATGGCCCGCAAACGGAAGCAGGAATCCTTGACGGGCAAACTAGTGCAAGAGAGCCACAATTCCCCCCCCCCCACGCCAACGGTAGTGCACAACGGCTGGGGAAGCACCCAGCTACGAGCGCCAGCTCTTTGGGCCTCCCGACACGCCCACCCCCGTCCTTCCGCCACGCCTGTCATGGCGCCCCTCCTTGACCTTCTCGGGCCGGTCCACGCGCATGCGCTCCCCCAGCCCGCCCGCGAGGAAGGAGAGAAACTCGGCTCCTCCCTCCGCGCGCATGCGCCTAGCGTGGGGGCCCCCGCCCCGCCTTGCTCGCGCCCCTCTCCTCTCTTCCCGGTTGGGACAGCGGCAAGATGGCGGCGGCCACGGCGGCCGGGAAGGTCCAAGCTGCGCGCGAAGGCGGCCGCGGAGCCTGCGGGCGCCCGCCCAAGCGGCAGCCAGCGCTGTGAAGCGACCAGCGGGGACGAGCCCAGGTGAGGGGCGGCGGGCCCGGAGCCCCCCAGCAGTGCGGGAGCCTCGCCGGCGGCCTGGAAGGCAGGCGGGCCTCACGCGCCGTGCCCGCCCGCCCGGGAGGCTCCGGCGCGGCCCCTCGGCTCCCTCCGGGGAGGCTGGAGGGTCTGCCGGGCCTAGGGCGCAGAGCAGCGGCCTTTCTCCTCCGGCCCCGGGGTGCCCGAGCAGCCTCCCTCCCGAGCCGATGGCGCAGAGACGGCAGGGCCCGAGGGAAGCGGGAGGTGCCGGGCCGCTCTCCCGCCGGCCCGTCCCCAGCAGCCCCGGCCTTCCTTTGGGACGGTCGCGCTTTGCCCCGTCGAAGAAAGGGGGGCTCCGCCGGGGCGTTTCCCCGTTGGGTGGGCCACCCCAGACGGAGCTCGGTCTCCGCGGTGGATCATTCTATCGGAAGAGAGCCGGAGGGGACCTTGGAGGTCATCTAGTCCAGCCCCCTGCTCAGGCAGGAGACCCGACCTAGACCCTTTCCGACAAATGGGTTGTCCGGTCTCTTCTTCCTCCTCCTCCCGTTATACATTCGAGATGCACAGCGCTCAGTATTTATTTGTTATGTACATGTAGGGTGTGGGTCTGTGCATATCTTGTATGCATAGTATGTTTAGGTGTGTGTCATGTAGGTGTTTCTCTTGGAGAGCGGGCAACTAAATTTCATTTTGGAGGCGTGCTGTTGTGCCCACAGTAAAAAAAAAAAAAATGACAAGAAAGGTTCACTTATCTTATCATAAAAGCGATGGATGTCTATGGAGAGTCTCCGTCATTGTCCCAAAGGTGCTTTTTCAAAAGGCTACTAGACTTCCTCGTTTTTCTTTGAAGATGTTTTCACTTCACATCCAGAGAAGCTTCTTCGGGCCAGTTGACCCTTGAAAAAGCACCTTTGGGACTCCAGGGATGGAGCACCCACGACTTCTGGTGGCCAGCTGTTCCACTGGTTAATTGTTCTCGCTGTCGGGAAGTTTCTCCTTAGTTCCTGGATGCTTCTCTCCTTGATTAGGTTCCATCCGTTGCTTCTTGTCCTGCCTTCAGGCGCTTTGGAGAATAGATAGACACTCACACACCCCTCTTGTTTGTGGCTGCCTTGCTTTGGGTGGGTGGCTCTCTGTTCTGTTCCGGGCTCAGAGTCTCCTCGGTTCTCCCTGGACCCAGTTTCCTTAGGGCAGCTGCGTGGAGCCGACCTCTGGGAAGGTGCTGGCTGGGGGGCATTCTGCCTTTCCAGCTTGGATTGGCCCTGCAACCCCCAGGGGTCTCCAAGGTGGGCATCCTCCCCTTCTAGGATCAGAGGAGGAAGCAAGAACAGGCCACAGCCAGCTGCCCTCGGTGTGCATTTTTAAGGCCCAGTTGGGATCTCAATCAGAGTGTGTGTGTGTGAAAGCTCTTTAGTCTTTGCTGCTTGTGCAGTGGGAGTGGGGCTCCCTCTTGCCCACCGGCTATCTTCAGACATGTTTCTCCCCTCTTCCTTCCATCTTTGAAAGCTCGTTGCGGTTACCAAACATTCACCAGCTTTGCCACGCTACCACCACAGAAGTTTGGCGGCAGGCCTCCCTGGGGTAGTCTGGATGCTGTGAGACTTGGCTCAGGGGGCTTTGCTGCCTCTCACACTGCAAATGCTCTTTGCCCGAGCGAGGGGGCAACTTGTATGCGCACAGAAACGGGTGGCGCAGTGGCAAAAGTAATGGAATTTGTCAGTTGACCCAGAATCTGCTCTTTGGCACATCGTTTTCCGGAAGTCTGGGACACTTTTAACGACGTGTGTGTGTGTGTGTGCACATTTTGATACCCTGACCTGCTGCCTTGGGGAATGCTGGAAGGTTTGTGCCTTTGGGAACAGTGCAGGGAGAAGGGAAGAGCTGGAGAGCTAGCTTCAAGAAGCCAGGGGTGAGCTGGGTCCTCTAAACCAAGGGTCCTCAACCGTGGCCACTTTAAGACTTGTGGACTTCAAGTCTGGCTGAGGAATTCTGGGAGTTGAAGTCCACAAGTCTTAAAGCAGCCAGGGTTGAGGACCCCCTGCTCTGAACTGTCTTTGCTTCAGTCAGCTTGCAACAGAAAGTTTTCAGCACTTCAGCTTCCTTCCCAATTAAGCTATCGGAACTATTGGCTCGACCTGGCAATTACGGGAGCTCCTTCCTTCTCTCTCTCTGCTCCCTGAGGCCTGTGCTCTGATGCCCGATGTTTCCTGACCCCGAGCCTTGAAAGAAAAGGGGGTCTCCATCACGTGCAGGGATGGAAGCTCCTTTGGGAGACAGTTGGACAACTGCCTCCGTTTTGGTCTTATCTCATGCAAGAGCTGCCAGCCGTGCAGTTTTGCACACTCTCCCTTGCTCTTAAGCTTCAATGATCTGCATTTATATCCCCTACTTCCTGCAGGCGGAGGACCCATAAATGACTCTCGCTGCAGGCACAGAGCACACGAGAAGACCCCCCCCCCCATTAAGGAAGGGCCAGGACACCACTGTGTGCAGTAGGAAGCCCAAGACATGATTCACACATCGAAAGCTTAAAAGGCTCTGCTTAGAAGCCCGGAAAACAGCCAGGCCTCTCTCCCAATGCCTTGTAGCGAGCCAGAGGGAGAAATTGTTGCATTGCTGCCCTGCGCGCTCCTCTTGCATTCTTTGCCTCGTCTTTCGGTTCCTTTTTCCACCCTTCCCTTCAGAAGCCATACCAGAGGTCCGCCGTAAGCCGTCTGAAAGGAATCTCCCAGCTGGATCTTTCTGAGAAAGCGGGCAGCATTCCATATTTCTTTGGAGGAGCAGTCGGCCCTATGCAAAGTAGTGATTGACTTGCACAACATCTGGGAAGATTCTCGAGAGACTTGGGGGTGGGGGGGGTGGAGGTGGTGACTGACATCTTCCTTGTGACAAGATGAAAACAGTAAGGTTGACTCTTTGATCCTTTTGGGGGGGGAGGTGAGTGGCCCTGTTGCCCCTTTGATCTTTTCCTGGAGGAACTGTCACTCAGCAATCGGAATAGCCTTGGAGGATGTAATTAGTAAACAGCTGCAGCAGCAGGCAAGGACTTTCAAACAGCGCTCTGCTGTCTTCCCCCCCAAAGGAAATGGGGGGGAGGTGGGAAGGAGCAAGAGACTCACAAATTCAGCACTTCTTCCATTTTTTGCCTTCAGCTTCTAGCACAGCGGTTCTCAACCTGTTGGGTCGGGACCCCATTTGGGGTAGAACGACCATTTCACGGGGGTCGCCAAACAACGCAGTCCGCCATTTTTTCCCCCCTTTCCCTTAGCTGTGCTACTCCCTTTTATTCTATTGGCTTTTGAAAGCCAACAGAATCGACTCTCTTGAATAGAGTCTAATTCTATTGGCTTTCAAAAGCCAATAGGAATTGTCCAGGCTGTCTCTGCCCTGCTGAGCCCGCCAAAAGTCCCATTCTGCAAACGGTGCTGCACCAGTTTGAGTAGTTCTCGACTTACGACCGGTTGAGTAGTCCTCGACTTACGACCGGTTGGGGGTCGCGGCATTAAAAAGGTTGAGAACCACTGCTCTAGGAGATACTGCAGGACCCCTACATTGCTCTCCTAACCCTTCCCTGCCCCCAAGGTAGTGCACCAGACTTGATATTTGTAGGATTGCCTTCTTGGGCGTTAACGGAAGCTCTCAGCTGCCTTCGAGACTAAGCAGGGATTCTTGGCTGCTTCAAAGGCTGACGTGCCAAACCGTGGATTGAAACCGGAGGGGGGGGGCTTCACTCCACACAATCTCATCTTTCCCCTGTTATTCCGTTATACAACGGCCCTCAACCTTTTGGGCACCAGGGACTGGCTCCGTGGAAAAGGGTTTCCCCCCCCCCGCGGGCCGAGGAGAGCAGGGTTTTGTGTTATTTTGAATAGATATTTACTAAGGAGAATGATATGCATTAATGAACTGATACTGTTTACGATTATCGTTTATTGCCGTATTTTCCGGCGTATAAGACGACTGGGCGTATAAGACGACCCCCGACTTTTTTTTCTTTTTTTTTTCTTTTTTCTTTTATTAAAAAGTTTTATACAAGTTTTTAACAATATCCCCCCCTAGAATAACCCCCTCCCTCCCCCCCTCACTTCCCAGACCTGGTTACAGGGTTACAAATAAACAAGCAAATTCTAAATAAACTTATCCAACTATGCAAATAGTAAAATCAATAACATACTTTAACTCAAATACAAAAAAGGAAAAAAAATATAAGCATTTCCAAATTGAAAACTCCGACTTTTGAGAAGATTTTCATGGTTTAGAAAGTCATCTTATACGCCGGAAAATACGGTACACTTATTCCTTACTACTATATCAGCTATTGTTAACTGAACATATGTACCCGGACAATAGTCTGGTTGCTAAAGAATGAAAATGTTATTTTTTGGGGGGGGGAATAACCCCAAAGTTGACCCCAGCCCTCCCCCAGCACCAATCCTGATCCCAAGCCCTCCCTAAGCCTTAATCCTTATCCCAATCCTATTCTATCCCCAACTCTATAAAACTCTATAAAATTAAAAAAAAAAAAAGATTCCTTTGCAAGAAGACCGGCCCATAACCCGTAACTTTCCCCCCCCCCTCTCCATTTTTGAAGCAGGGGACTGG